GCAGCAGCAGCAGCAGCAGCAGCAGCAGCAGCAGCAGCAGCAGCAGCAGCAGCAGCAGCAGCAGCAGCAGCAGCAGCAGCAGCAGCAGCAGCAGCAGCAGCAGCAGCAGCAGCAGCAGCAGCAGCAGCAGCAGCAGCAGCAGCAGCAGCAGCAGCAGCAGCAGCAGCAGCAGCAGCAGCAGCAGCAGCAGCAGCAGCAGCAGCAGCAGCAGCAGCAGCAGCAGCAGCAGCAGCAGCAGCAGCAGCAGCAGCAGCAGCAGCAGCAGCAGCAGCAGCAGCAGCAGCAGCAGCAGCAGCAGCAGCAGCAGCAGCAGCAGCAGCAGCAGCAGCAGCAGCAGCAGCAGCAGCAGCAGCAGCAGCAGCAGCAGCAGCAGCAGCAGCAGCAGCAGCAGCAGCAGCAGCAGCAGCAGCAGCAGCAGCAGCAGCAGCAGCAGCAGCAGCAGCAGCAGCAGCAGCAGCAGCAGCAGCAGCAGCAGCAGCAGCAGCAGCAGCAGCAGCAGCAGCAGCAGCAGCAGCAGCAGCAGCAGCAGCAGCAGCAGCAGCAGCAGCAGCAGCAGCAGCAGCAGCAGCAGCAGCAGCAGCAGCAGCAGCAGCAGCAGCAGCAGCAGCAGCAGCAGCAGCAGCAGCAGCAGCAGCAGCAGCAGCAGCAGCAGCAGCAGCAGCAGCAGCAGCAGCAGCAGCAGCAGCAGCAGCAGCAGCAGCAGCAGCAGCAGCAGCAGCAGCAGCAGCAGCAGCAGCAGCAGCAGCAGCAGCAGCAGCAGCAGCAGCAGCAGCAGCAGCAGCAGCAGCAGCAGCAGCAGCAACAGCGACACCAGCAGCAGCAACGCCGCCGGCGACGACGACGGCGGCGGCGCCAGCGGCAGTGAGCCCGGCGCCTCTGGAGATGGCGGTGGCGGCGGCAGCGAACCCGGCGAAGACTCCGAGCAACTCGAGGAGTACAAGTTTGATCCCGCCGACAGCCGCTACCCGCCGGGCCGCGAAGAGCGTCGGCTCCTCTGGGGCGCCTCGAAGGAAGGACCGCTGCGCCACGGGCTCGAGCGCGGCCGCACAAGAAGGGAGACCCGGGAGCTGCAAGGCCCCGTGGAGCCGCCGGGTCCAGACGCCGAGCCAGACGCCGAGCAAGCGCTGCTGGCGGAGATCATATGTGGACTACGTGTCCAACTCGCTGGTGCGGGAGCGGTACGACGAGGAGCAGGTCAACATCCAGTACCGGCATGAAACTATACGGCACATGGGACAGTGGAGGGTATCGCCCACTTCCCGCACGCATGCCCTCGCATAGCAGCCCACACACATCGCATGACCGCAGCTAACGAGGTCCACATACGGTTCGCTGACATACCCTAAACAGATGCCACACACCAGTGGTTCAGTAGGCGCTGCTGCCGTTTCCGCGGTGGCCGAAGAAGTCGTGTGTTTTCCCAATAGTCTTACTAATAATAACACGTTGGGCATCTCTAGGCAGTCTCATGGCCACATGATCTATTTTGGCGGTGTAAATGAGCTTTTCCAAAGTGAGCTGTTGTGGTGGACCACAGGAAGCATTTTTCTGTGAAGAACTCAACAAATATTCGCCTCTTCTACAGACAAGAGTCCGGGATAGAGTAACAATGAAAACTCATCTCACAATTTCAGAATGTCGACGAAAATCGAATCTCAATGTCCGCTTTTGCCAGCGACCAACGGAAAAAATAATGTTCATCGAAGGTGGCCCTTAGTAAATCAAAGTTCGTGTGGGCCGAGTGAGCTTCCAACGCGACGTAGTGGCAAAAAAACATGATACGACGAGAGCGCATACCTTGAGTCGACGAGCAAACAAGTTCCATGTTGCGCCAGAAGTGTGCCGCCATGCGCGCTGTCCCAATGTGTCGGTCCTTTTGATTGGCCGGTTCGCCTGTCATCTTCCTGTCTTGATCGCTCTTTTGGGCTTCTCGATATACGTCGCAAAAAATCGACTCTTACAGTCGGTGTGGCAGCAACCACGGCCATCACGTTCATTTCAGAGGTGGTTTACTAATGAAAATGTGTCCGGGCCGGGTGAGTTACCAACACGATCAACCGTAGAGCCAGTAGATCATAGTACGACGAAAGCGCATACGGACGCCGGTTCCCCACCATGCTGCATACGTCCAAAGTGTGCGACCAAGTACGAACATGCGCGCTATTTCTCTCCTCTTCACCGGTTCGCCATTTTGCTGTCTCTATCGCTCATTGTTTGTCATCTTCTTGAATATGGTTAAAAGGCCATCTCATCTAGAGATGAATCAGAAGGAATCATTCGGCAGTCTATTGTCAAGAAAATTTAGAAACCAAACGGTGCCATCATCACCACCAACAGTAGCCAGCGTGTCGGTGGGAACAAGCCACTTGGTGCTCCTCTGTTAGTGGGAAGCTCTAGAAGATAACGTTACGTAAGAGATGCAGTTTGCTCCGTGGAAGCTCAAACAATACCCAATTGTCAGGTATCCCATGGGAAACTTTCAAATTGATCGTTTCCGTCGTTCATCGACCCGATGTGGTCTTCACGGGTTTTCTCCTCTTGGTCAGGTACCATCAACGCAATCGACGAATTCATGTGCCTGAAGTTGATAACAAGCTAACCCGCGTGGCAGGACGGAGGGTCCTGCCAAACTAGGCGAATATGAGTTCTGGGGGACCACTGAAGTACAAAGACAGTCCACACGACATGCCCGAAACGGTCAGTATTCCCGACGAGTAATGTCACTCGTTTGAGTCGACCACCAACGAGCACCCCGCTGACATGACTGGTAGTCACTGCAAAACACTCACTAGAAACGATGATGACCCCAACACCAACACTAATGAGATTGACAACATCAACAGAAAATCACTACGAAACAATGCGGTACAGCGTGCGTTTCAACATGGGTGTACGAAGTTTACCACCCGCGTGACTGGTTGATTTACATCATATGTTCGGAGCTCCTCACGCATGAAGCGTCCTCACACCATAATAAACTGGATATGTGGGAGGCGTTTTTCCGGTCTAAGCTATTGACTGTTTGACTACAGAATGAAAATCCCAACAAAGAGCTCTCCCGTTTATTTAGTTGGGGGGCGTGGAAGCAACGTCTGGTAAGGAAGGGAAGGCCCTTACCATGCCTTCTTGCTTGACGTCTTTGTGAGCACCAAGACAAGAAGCTCGCATGGTCTTATCCACTTACCCAAACTTCGTGTAGGCCGAGGTGTATTCACCGCCGGGCTTGCACCGTAATGCTGATTCCCCCTTACTACATGGAAAACTACATGAACACACTGAGACAAACTCATTATCAGTAGGCCAAATCAAGCAATATGGAGCTTGCTCAAAGTCAGGACTTTTTGCCTGCACAGCAGTAGAACGGTTTCAAACAACCCTTGTGTCGGTTCACAGCAACGTGTATAGTCTGTTGGTATGCCCTTGTTGTGTGACCTCCAGAGTCCAAAGAGTGCTGTTAACGGCATGTATTATCGTAGGGGGGCATGAGGGAGAAGGAGGGAGGAAGAGTGCCAGACCCAAAGCCAGTCGAAAAGGGGGCCCGCAACTCGTATCTCAAGGTCTCTCGTAGCCGCCCCTCAAGGCAATCCCATCTGCGGTACACGAACCGCCAGTGATTTGGTACAATCCGACTAATCTACCTCCACGCACAAACACCCTCCCTTGGTTCTTTACGCCAGTGAATAACCACCACTCCTGCTTCGAAGAGCACATCGGAAAAGCACCTAAAACAACGCAAATCAGAAACAAGGGGAAACCCGCCATCGGATCAAAACAACTTACAAATCTCAACGCCTTCACGCCGTTCATATCATGAAAGATTCCAACGGCCGTACTGCAACATCAAGGCAAGACAATGTCTACCACCGCCCCCGGCTCGCTCTCACGCCACGCTCGGCTGACTCGCCAAGGTCCTCCCTTCGCAGCACAAAAACAAATCATCAAGCACGCCCCTACCCTTCTGGTGAGGTCGTGCGACAAACTTGGCCAAACTAGCCACCTACAATGCACCTGATATCCATTGTCCGCTCCTCGAATAACACTGATAGTCTACACGCCGTATGCCCTTCCTTACGCAACACATGCCTAGTAGTTGGGGACGACTTCATACGCCCTCTCTAGTGTGCCAAACAACGCGCGTCGCTTTCCCCTTCTCGGAAAGGCGCTTTCCTTTCTTCATTCCTTGAACAAAGGCGACGCCTGGTGAGATTCGAACTCCCGGCGTATCCTTACTCGTTACATGGTCTTCTTCACCAGACTACGCAGTCACTTGGTTGCCTAGAAGCACATACACGTGGCGATCGTCCAGCATTCAATCAACAAATCAGACACATGGTACATGCAACATCGTGGAAACACGACCAAACTCCTCCCGTAAATAGAGTCCAACAACACCCAAGAGGCAACGCCCTCCGTCATCCAATAACTGCAAGATCGAAATAGTTCCACCTCAATCATGAGAGGACGACCATAACTCTGTCACGTTGCAGAATATCTGCAGACCGGGCGCAAAACTCTCCGAGCATTACACTCTCCAAAACAAAAAAAACCACGCACGGCGCCACCCTCCCTTATTCTGCAACCACACAGGCCACACAGGGAACACAAAACAAGCGGTGACGCGTGAAACTCGAGCATGTGGCGGCGGAAACACCCATGGATTGCAACAAGCAATTAACAGCGATCTATGCAAGTCCGCAACAGCGCCTCACTTGCGACTATTCACGTGCAATACAAGTTATCGCCCTTTACTGCTAAACGCCACATACAAAAGAATCAAAAAAAAAAACAAAATAAAACACATTCCGGTACCAACCAAAATGAAGATAGTGCCCGCGGAAATCCACCGCGCGGCTGGTCCGTTTTGCTTCCCTCCCCACCCGCCCACACCCGACGTCCCTCGGCGTCCCGACGTTCCTCGGTGTAGCGGTGTAGCAGACAGGCACACGACGGCTTTCTCGTGTCTTTGAACTCCACCATCCCACAGCTACGTATTTCCGGGCCCCGCCAGCTGATGATGTAGAGTGCACGCGGTACCCCACGCGCCTTGATGTTCGCTGCCCCCTTCCCGCTCTTGGTAGAAGGCAGCCACGGCCACTGCCGTGCTGCTGGGTGTGGCCAAATACTCCAGCACTTCTCACACAACTCCCGTGATACCCCGCCTATCCATCGGGGCCAGGAAGCACTTCTCTCCCCGCATATCCATCGGGGCCAGCAAGATTTTTCTGGTACCCTTCCCCGCACACACGACGGGTTGGGTTCGCGTGCCCCCTCCTACACGCTCCTTAATGGGGATAAACACAAGAGAGCACACACTACTCTCAAGTGTACACGAGTGTTCTCCACCCGTGTTCGCGGGCCACATACCTTGCGGGTACAACCCGCGGGCATTCCCGCTCCGGCCTTGTCTCCAGACCCGCCCCAGCAGACATTGGTGTTGTATACCTCCAGGCCATCTCCCGGTCTTGTGTTCCTTCCATGCTGCTGGGGTGCAGGCGGCAGAACTCCACCGCCTCCGCGTGCCCCCTCCTACACGCCCTTTTAATGGGGACAAACCGATATAGCAACCGGCTCGGGAGTAGCGGATACTCTCCTCTGCTCCCACGACCCGCACCTGCGGGCGAGCGGCAGCCTCCGTGCTCCCGCTCTATGGAGCCCCCGTTGGGACTCCTGGTGGACATGCACTACACAGCATCCCCACCGTCGACAGCATCCTCTTGGCGCCGCCTAACTTCGTCCGACCCCTCCTGAGTGGATAAGTCGGTCGCTGGGACACTTTCGCTAGTGCCCCCAGCGGTAGCAACTCTGCTGTGCAACAGCTCTGCCACAACTTCTACAACAGACGGAGAGAGTTGGTGTACTGGAATGCACCAAACACACCTTCAGCAGGGACCTCAACAGCCCGCACCAGGGCGCCATCCACGTCCGGCCTACTGCTGCTCTCTCCTCCCGCAGTGTCGCCCTCCCTGACGACCACGCAGGTCTTGGTGGCTGCTCGGTGGAACACACAAATCCCGCCGCACCTGCCGTGCCTCTCGCAGCACGGCCCGACTAATCCTGGCCTCGCCCACCCGACTTGGCCTGCAGAAGCGATGGCAGCCTGCCCATCATCTCCTACACCCCTGGTTCTCGCCTCAACTCGAAACCCTAGTCAAAACTTGCGCGTCGTGTCACTCAGTAATGTCCTTACCACGGGATCACGCACAACGCTCCTGCTGCTGCTTCTCACCACAGCTGAGCTCTGAAGATCATCGGGCTCCTCCGGAGGATGCATTTCTAGAATGTTGGTATGCCCTTGTTGTGTGACCTCCAGAGTCCAAAGAGTGTTGTTAACGGCATGTATTATCGTAGGGGGACATGAGGGAGAAGGAGGGAGGAAGAGTGCCAGGCCCAAAGCCAGTCGAAAAGGGGGCCCGCAACTCGTATCTCAAGGTCTCTCCTAGCCGCCCCTCAAGGCAATCCCATCTGCGGTACAAGAAACCGCCAGTGATTTGGTACAATCTGACTAATCTACCTCCACGCACGAACATAGTCTAGTGCAGTTGGCAAACAATGGAGAATTTGTTTCCGACTGTCCACGTATTTCTTCCACTGTGCCAAGATGGTGCCACGTGCGAGCGATGCGTGCCCACGATTTTTTTTGTCGTCGCGGTCGTTGCTGTAGTGGGGTCGGTCAGCGCAGCCGAGGCGACGGCACAACGTTTATTGTATGGGCTGCACTGCATCAACTGAAAAAATAAAAAGAAAGAACACCGATTCTTCTTTGCGTGTACGTCCGTTCCCTGGCGCTGAAGGTGTTGTGATCCTTGTGTTTCCGCCTTCGTGTGCTACTGACGTAAGCGCATATTTCTGCTTCCCAACTAACGGCACAACGAGCGTTGTTCCCTCCCTGTACCTTGTATTCTAGCCCGCTCTCTGCTTCGTTTCCTCGGCTACGCCGAAAAACCAACACTGCAGCACAAAGAAGGTTCTGGAGTGCTTTCACCTTCGTCAGTACCGGTGCGATCGAAGATTTGTCAAGCCCTTGAACTCGCCGTCTTCATCGGTCTTATCCTGAAGGAAGAGCTGGACTCACTGCGCCCGATCCGGTGGTAGGACGAAGTGTTGGCCGGAAAAGGCAAGACGGGGGAAATACTCGACGGAACGCCATTTTCATACCGGCCAGAATTAATTGTGTTCGCTCAAACCAGCAGCATGGATGTCGGCCATCGAGCAACACACCGATCTGGGGAAAATATCCATGAGAGTTCGCTAATTCCGGTGCAGCAGGTTGCTAGCCTGTCTTTTGAGGCGGGGAGGACTCATTCGAAAAGCGTCGGGCCCTCGCCGACAAGAACCCACATGCATGACCCTTGCCGCCGTTTAATTGTGGTTTCTGCACCCTCCTTGTCGCGGCGGAGGACACCAGTCCTCCGGAGCACATCGCAGAGATTGTCCGGGAGCACACCCTGGTTCGAAAGCTCCTTTCGCGGTCCTTACCGCCTGCTTGCTGAGTGCATCTCGCGTCCATGTCCGCGGAGCTGCTTAGCTCTTGGCCTGGCCGAGGAGTACGGGGTTGCCTTCGACGAGTCTGGCATTCTTGCATTTATTGGTCAGGAGATTGTTGTCGTGTACATCCAGAACAGCTCGCGGATGTTCAACATCCTTCCGCGCTTGATTTGGCCGGTGTGGTAACAAGGTTCACTGGCGACAATAGAGTAGTCAGGAGATGGTGCCCTCTGCGTGCTGTAGTTGAAAAAGTTGCAAGCTTTTCTTTTCGTCATTGTAGGCGAACTCGGCGCTTTGCCGTGAACTAAGGATGGTATGTGTGGATAAAACAACTTTCTCAAGGAGGAGCTGGCGAATGACGTCCCCTTCGTTGACATGGGTAGCGCACTGTCAAACGTGCAACGTCGACATCGAGGCATACGCACACGTTGTTCTGCTGGAAAGTCGTCCAGCATGTCGGGCAGCCAACAAACAAGGAGAGGGGGCGTAGCCGCCGCGGAGCCTGCCATCCACAATCCGGACCAGCCGTGAAGGCTGGTCATCCACGAGCCCAACGTGCTTCATCCGTCAAGCGATGGCTACAATATTGATATAGGAGTCCTTGATGGTGCACGAACACGCGGCAGTGGGCAATACCGCCGACAACACAAAAGGTCGTACAAGTTCGTGTGTTGAGAGCGAAGTATGCTCTGTCCCTAACCCCCCCCCCCCCCCCCCCCCCCCCCCCCCCCCCCCCCCCCCCCNCATGCCGCATGACTTAATGACTCCCTCCCCCCAATCAACCCTCTACGCCTCTATCCTCCGATGACGCGGGCAACGCAGAGCTCCACAAAATTTCCCCGTGGGGGGTGACCAGCACCAGCGCGCGGTCTCGAAGCTCAAGTCCAGCGGTCTTGATGGCTTGCCCTTGTGCATCCCACGGCAAGTTGGCCCTCCAGCTGCCGTGCGGCCTCGGGCTCTGGCCCATCGTGCAGAGCCGGCCCCGGCCAACCCTCCACCTCCCGTTCTTTACATAGAGGTGTACATCTTCGTCAGTGCCTTTGACCATCCTCCGCCACCAAGACTCGAAGACGCACCCCAGCCCCCCGTCGGCCTTGTCCCCGGTGGAACCCGTGGCGCGGTATGCCCACAGGGGCGGCTTATCTCCGGAGAACGCGGGAAAACCCCCTGCCCGAAGGATGACATCGCCGATCTCAGTAATCTCTACGTTGGTCGAGTCCACCAGCGGTGCGGTTGACAAGAACTGCCCAGTTTGTAGGGGGTAGTCCCCGGGCGATATGACGTGGCCACGGAAGGCGGGCGAGGCGTCCGGGGTATCTGACCCCAGGTTCGATGAGGTGACGGACGAATCGCCAAGGTTTTGTGCGAGCGGAGCGCCCTGCACGTGTTGACGGGTGTCGCATCAAAGGTGTGGGCAGTTGTCGGTGGACTGGACCGGACGATGGATCCGGGAAAGGGTGCGCTTGAGGTATTAGGGCGTCTGGTCTTTGCACTATAATGGATGGTTGTAGGTGCCACCATGGCAAGTGCCGTCTCGACACCGTAACGATGCTACGGTCACGATGGGAACATTAGCCATCGCGGTGACCACCAACATCGCAACACCATAAAAAAAAACACCAAAACCATGACCACAACAACGATGACAAAAAATGTTTACGAAAACCCTTCCCCGCCTCCCCCGACCACACCCGCCACCACCAAAACAACAGCCTTCAACGATTACTTACGTCGAAACGATTTGTTTCCTCGTCACCGGTAGGTCCTTGGGCGATGATTGCCCCTGTCAAGATAGAAACCCATGCGTCCAACTCCGACTGGCTCTCCGCATCCAGCGTCCACTGCATTTCGTTGACCGCAAAACATGCCCAAAAGCACGTTAGCCGGATTGATGGAGACGACATTCGACCAACCATTAAGATAACCCGTCCGCACCACGGCACACTGTGGCGGTGTCCGGGGTGGCGGCGAAGGTAAACAATGTGCGAGATGGGAGCAGCCGGCAGCAATCGACGCAGCATTGGCCACGCTATCGTCGTGCAACCCTCGACGAGATCGTCAGGAGACGAGACGGGAACCAAGTTCGCGCGGGAAGCGATCTAGTCAACGCACACAGAATGAAGCGCGTCATTGATCGTTCCATGCTCTTGGAAACAACGGATACAAAGGAAAGCATGCGTGCACCTGGTTCCGAACAAAGACTATTTCAACAAGCCGGTGCTTCATCTTGACCGTTGGCATAACCCCTGACCACACTACTAACAAATGCAACGACGAGGGGGAAATCACTATCTCTCTCTCCGCTCCCGGTCTCCCCTTCGGGCGCAGACAGAGTGGTGTACGTTTCCGCCTTAGACGAGATGAACCTTTGTTATCGTGCACGACAACATATCCATGGGAGCTATTCTCATGGGGAGGAGCTGCACCCACCATTGTGTTGGTCTTCCCGCGAGGATCCCCGCTCACAACGCGGAACATGAACCGTCCGTTGCCGGCCTTCCCCACGTCTTGCTCGGAGAGTCTAACCACCTCCGAAGACCGGTCCAATGGTTGTTCCTGGGGTAGTAGCGGTGCATTGTCCTTGTCATCGTTATCGTCATGTATGAATACCCGCTAGAAAATGCAAGTAAGTGGGAAAAGAACGAAAACGTAGGTATTTTCTCCGGGGGGGGACGACGGCGGAAATGAGCCGACTTGGGAACATGACGAGTCCTTCATTCGTCGACAGTGCAACGAAAATATGTTTATCAGAGAAAAATAGACTTCCGTGTCGACTATAACACCTCGTTCATCGACAATCTCTTTATCGCGCCGTTAACTGCGAAAAACACGAGAGCAATACGAAAAGTTTAGAATCACTTGCTCTCATTCTTCATCGCACAGCACGTGCCTTGCATGAGGAATGTTTGACGAAACCACCCTTAGTGTGACACAGCCTCAGGACTGAGTCGGCGACGAGCGAGAGGTCTCCAGGTTGCCACCCTCGGAGCATCGTCTTGAAGAGCACCTTTCCCTCCTTGCGAAACTGCTTAGCGCAGGTTTGGCACAAGAACGACAGGAGCGCGAAGAGGGGGTGTAAGGTAAGGGTGGGGGTGGATACAACGCAGAGTAGTAGAGGAGTGGCACCGCGTGGTGTAGTCTACATGTGCACACCCACTCCATGCACCGTGTTCGAGTTTTGCTCAATCCTCACACGTACACTGAGTTATCAAGATCTCAAAATCGCACTCGCGTTGTCTTCACCCACGCTCCCGCGCCCTCGGTAGCATAACGTCCCTCTCTCTACCTCTTCCCGTGGGGTAGCGAGGGAACAGCGATAACACTCACGGGCTGCTTGCAACACGTGGTCACGTTAACCATTGACCACACGTCAAGTCATCTGCCTCTACAGTAGTTCGCCGATAGAAGCTCCGATAACATCACAAGTGTGGAAACCAGGATATGAGTATCTTCCGAGAGGTAATACTGTACATGTGAGTAGCAACGATCGCCGGACTACATGAACGATGTCCTATCGTCCGAAAACATTTGCCAGGAAAGATTCGCAGAATGCCGTTGCCATTCATGTACATGTTGGAGATGGGGAGATGGCGGCGAAGGCGCCCCACGCCCCACTCTCTCTCGCCTTCCACCTTTTTTGAACAAGCTAAGCCGAGACTTCGGCTACGCTTGGCACTTCTTCGCCACATAATCAAGAACGGATAATCACTACTTCAGGAAACTCTACTCGCGACAGAGAAAGCGAATTATCACAACCATCGTTCTATGTCAGGGTATCGAACCACCTCGACCTCAAGACGGCTCAATCCAATAGTCCAGGTACTACTGTATATCTCAACCCCCGCTGGATGGGTTCCCGGTGTTTGCCATCGGGGTTGGGTTTTCGTCGCTTGGCAACGACGTTGTAAAACAAG